CCCCGGGGGGGGTGGCCACGCCATAGTCCCTTCTCCTCCACTCTCCTCTCGGGATCTTGGGCACGCACGCACATGCACCGGCGTAAGTTAAGGCCAGTGGGTCCGGGACTCAAACCATGGTCGACTACATGGGAATCCGGCGACATAGTCATTACGCCATCTGCTGGTCCCCTAATTTTAAACTTCCCTACTTTCCCTTCCTGACCCCCTAAATAAACAAACAGAAGTAATTTTTATAAGTAAGATTTTATTTTCTCTTAGAATGTTTATGATTACTTTTGGCTTTCTAATTTAAATATACATGATTTCTAAATTATGTCCAACTGTGTTCTTTAGAAGAATCTAGTAAGACAGAATACACTATGAAATTATTCTAGTTCTGTTAATGATTGAATTCTATTATACATAAAAGAAATTGTGAATTTTAGTTGAAAGAAAAACTGTACTCATAGGAAATAATTCTATCATACATACACATTTACAGTCTGTACTTTTATAATCTCTTCATTTAAAAAAACATTCTTTCCCCAAAAACATTATTTCAGTTCAAGATGCTTATATGAGTATCTAATGAGTAATTAGTATATACATAGGTGACTGTGAATTATTACCCACAACTCTTATATTCTGTTCAAAGGTGAAAAAATTCTTAAAAAGTGTTTTAACATTTCTCATCTACAAAGCAGCAACAATACTTAATTAAAAATGGCAAACTAGGTTATACATAAACAGTCCCTTAAGAAAAGCATTTGAAAAGCCATTATTCCATAAAATATTTACATTGTTTAAATTACATGACAGCAACATTTTTTTGTTCTATTTTAGTTTAGTTGAACATATTAATAAGACTCCAAACCGAGAGAGAGAGAGAGAAAGGAAAATGCTATTCATCCTTTATAAAAGAGATTTTATCCTTGGGTTTATTCAGCATCTTTATATCATCCAACAGCTTTTTGGGTGTTAAAATATGCGTAGAACCTGGTAGGAAAAAAGATAACTTTTCAGACTAGTGGTTAAATTGATTTCCCTTGACTTAATACTTAATATTCTTCAAATATGCAAAGTGTAGATGTCTGGAGCAATTTAAGAGCGTTTCTATAGGCCGTCCTCCTGAAATCTGCCTGTACTGCCGTATTTCAATCCTTCCTCATCACTGAGCATATTCAGAGACCCTTCAGAACCACTGCCCCTTCCCAGTGCTCTGTCTACTCTGTGCTACATATTGGTATACTAAAGAGCAAAGCTGGAGATTCTGACAGAACTGCAAAGTGTAACAGACAAGCGCTGTGCACTGCTGCAGATCAAGGCTGGGCACACAGGTCCTGCCCCTCTACAGGTCAGGAGCATCACTTGGCTTTGGCTAAAATTCTTACTTTCTTAATTTCTTCATTTCTTTCTCCCTTCTTTCTTTCTTTTTTTAACCATAAGGGTTAAAAAACATATTCTATTTAAACAGTAGCCATTAGAGTGTGCCAATAACTAAACCATTATCAGACAATATGCACACATAAACAAAAAGTCTAACCACAAAGAACAGTTTTATAAAATAAAATGATTTATCCATTGAGAAGATATAACAATTACAAATGTGTATGTACTTAGCAAGACATCTCCAAGTTACATGAAGCAAAGACCAATAGAATTAATTGAAGAAACAGCTAGAAGGACAATAGTTAAATTTCAGTATCTCGCTTTCATTAGTGGATAGGACAACTAGACAGAAGATCGGAAAGATATATAATATATAGACAGCATAAGAAACATCCTAAAACGAACAGACATCTATAGAATACTTACCCAACAACAGCAGAATATATATACTTATTTCTTTTTTAAAAAGAATTATTTTAACTTTATTTATTATTATTTCCCAGTTTGATCAGAGAGAGAGAGAGAGAGAGAAAGAGAGAGAGAAAGTGAGAAAGCAAGCCACCAGGTCCAGGACTTGAACTGCAGTCAGCCATGTGAGTCCAGCACCTTTAACCACCACACCACCTTAGTGCACATTAAACGGTCTATATGTGGGAGTCCAGTGCCTTAACCACCACACCACTTACTGGCCCCTAGTTTCTTGTAAAAAATACAGAAGAGAAAAACAAGTCTTACCAATGATAACTTCACAGGATTTATGTGCCTGAGAAACTTCATAAGCACAACGCATTTCAGAGTATGTAATCCCGCCAATGACAAAAACAATCAGCTTTGACCCATTTTTTCTGTCTTCTAAATAGTTTGCTCTTGGTTTCTGGCGAGCACTAAAAAGTACCCCATAAAAAAAAAAGGGGGGGGGGAAAGCAAGCATGAATTCCAAAGACATACTAGTTACAGAATTTTTAGAAAGTTTTAACTAAAAACGACTTTAAGGAAATGACTTAACTCTGATGTGACTATATGACTAGAGTACCAAGAGTTGGGCAGGATAGCCATGTCTCCAGTTTCATTTTAACAAATCACTCATAATCTGGCTTACCGTTTTTACCTACAAGTAGAACTAACACCCACTCTGATTTACTTCACGTGAAGAAATAATATACCTGTAAAGTCTACAACTACTTTTTTTCTTAGAGATTTTTGCTATAGGGCGCATGCACTTGCCAGAAAGACAGAGACAGAGAGACAGAAAGCGAGAAATCACCCCCCAGGAGGGATGGCCACGGCGCAATCCCTTCTCCTCCATTCTCCTCTCGGGATCTTGGGCATGCACACATGCACATGCACCTGGTGTGAGTTTAAGCTACCGGGTCCAGGACGCAAACTGTGATGGACTACATGGGAGTCCAGCGATGTAGCCATTATACCATCTGCTGGTCCCGAGTCTGTGACTTCTTAAAACCAAAACAAAATTAAAAATAGGTGAGTGGCACTGAAACAATAAGGTTTTGAAGACACGAAATGGAAGGAGATGGGTCCTGATTCAAAACTGATGTGGTATTAGGACGTCCCTTGCTGGAATTCAGGAACATATGATGATTGGAGGTTTAGTTTAAGAGTCAGACCCGAGTTTCATCCCTTACTCTGCTTCTTTCTGATTCAGTACAACTTTTATTAAGTTACTTAACTTCCTAAACCTCAAAGGTTGTTACAAGATGAAATGAAATAGTGTACAGAACATACTAAGTATGGAGCCTGGGTACCAAGTAAGGACTCAATTACAGGAGCCATTACTTTCACGTTTCTTCCCCCAGGCTGCTCTAGATCGCACTGTCCAATACAGTAGCCACTAGCAACATGAGGCTATTTGAAATTAAAGTTAAATAAAATTAAAAATTTAATTTCTCACTTACACTAGCCACATATCAAGTACCCTATAGCCACATGCATCTAGCAGCTGTCATACTGGACAGAGCAGATACAGACCACTCCCATCACCTCACCTCAGAACCTGTTTCTTTTCTTTCTTTTTTTTTCTTTTTTGGAGAGGTTTTTGCTATAGGGCGCGTGCGCTCACCAGGCAGACAGAGAGAGACAGAGAGACAGAAAGCGAGAAATCACCCCCCAGAGGGGATGGTCATGCCACAATCCCTTCTCCTCTATTCTCCTCTCGGGATCTTGGGCACACATGCACACGTGCCTGTCGTGAGTTCTAAGCCACCGGGTCTGGGACGTGACCCGTGGTCGACTACATGGGAGGCCAGCGACAAAGCCATTATGCTAACTGCTGGTTCCCCTCAGAACCTATTTCTTGTGTATCTATGGACAGTGCTGCTCTAGAGCATACAAAATATCTCTTTATTTTTTTTGAGAAGTTTTGCCTTAGGATGTGTGCAGTTGCCAGAAAGAAAGAGTTTATGAGAGGGAAAGACAGAGAGAGACAGACAGAAAGAGAAAAATCACCCCGGAGGGGACAGCCACCACAATCCCTTCTCCATTCTCCCCCCCAAGATCTTGGGCAAGCATGCACATGTGCTCGGCAGGTTTCGAGCCACCAGCTCCAGGGACTTGAACCTGTGACAAGTGACATAACCGCAATGTCATCTGCTGGTCTCAACAAAATGCTATTTTTGTTCATACCTTCCACTGGTAAAATTTTTGAGATTTTATTTGAAAAGGAAATATTGCAAAATAAACATCTGTGTCTATTTCTATATATAATTAAATTATGCATGTGCATTAGCGTATACTAATAAAGCTTCATTTCTCTTTGATTAGGGAAAAATAAGTATCTAATAGACCATTTTGTAACCCACTTTGTCACTATCCTAGTCCCTATAGTACAAGATACCACAGTAAACTTTTTTTTTAAAGAGAGATTTTTGCTATAGAGTGTAAGTACTCACTGGAGAGACAGAAAGAGACAAAGAGACAGAAAGGGAGAAATCACTACCCTTGGGGGGGGATAGCCATGCCATAGTCCCTTCTCCTCCATTCTCCTTTCAGGATTTTGGGCATGCATGCACACACACCTTGCATGAGTTTGAAGCCACCAGGTCCAGGACTCAAACCATGGTTGACTATGTGGGAGTCCGGAAATGTAACCATTATGCCATTGGCTGGTCCCCATTATAGTAAACTTTTAATAATGTTCTAGCCCATAAGGCCAGCAGATGGCGTAGCGGCTATGTTGCTGGACTCTCACATGGCCAACTGTAGTTTGAATCCCAGATCTGGTGGCTTAAAACTCACACCGTGCACATGTGCATGCATGCCCACAGTCTCAGGAGAAGAACAGAGGAGAACAGATTGTGTTTTGTCTATCCCCCCTGGAGGGTGACTTCTCACTTCCTCTCTCACTGTCTCTCTCTCTTGTCCTAGCCAGCACATGTGCCCTAAGGAAAAACCTCTTAAAACAAATAATTAAACAAAATAATGTTCTAGTCCAGCCTTTGGCATGATCATTTTCATCTAGCACCTTAAAGAATGTTGAGCAATGGGATCAGCAGTAAGCGTAATGGCTATGTAGCTGGACTCCCATGTATTAACCACGGTTCAATTCCCAGACCCAGTGGCTTAAACTCACAGTGTGTGTGTGTGTGTGTGTGTGTGTGTGTGCCCGTGCCCAAGATCCTGAGAGGAGAATGGTGAAGGGATTGCAGCATGGCCCCATCCATTCTGAGGGGTGATTTCTTGCTTTCTACCTCTCTGTCTCTCTTTCTGGCAAGCACACGTGCCCTATAGCAAAAACCTCTCCACAAAAAAGAAAAAAAAAAAAAATTGAAGCACTAAGCAGAAAAAAACAAGAAGAACTGGTTTTGAAAGATAAAAGAGGAACAAGATAATTCTTTTCCTGTACAAAATAAGGCCAGGACATACTAACAGTCCCACTTTGATTAAAAAACTATTTTCAAGGGACCAGCAGATGGGTATGTTGCTGGACTCCTACATGACTGACTGTGGTTTGACTCCCAGACCTGCAGCCTTGAAACTCATGCTGGGCACGTGTGTGCATGCCCAAAAATTTGAGAGGAGAAGGGATTGAGATGTGGCCATGCCCCATTGGGGGGGTTATTTCTCACTTTCTCTCTCTTTCTGTTTCTCTGTCTTTCTAGTAAGCACACGCACCCTACAGCAAAAATCTGTCTTAAAAAAACTATTTCAAAAGAAACAGAGTAAGAAAGTAAAGGATATAATATTGCTTAAAACACTTATGTGATTTTGACAATTTTGAAACTTCGGAATTTCAATTTTCTTTTTTTTTTTTTTTGAAGAGGTTTTTGCTACAGGGTGTGTGCGCTCGCCAGAGAGACAGAGGGAGATAGACAGAAAGCAAAAAAATCACGGGGGGATGCCATGCCACAATCCCTTCTCCTCAATTCTCCTCTAGGGATCTTGGGCACGCATGCACACACACCCAGTATGAGTTTAAGCCTCTGGGTCTGGGACTTGAACTGCGGTAGGCTACATGGGAGTTCAGCAACATAGTCATTATGCTAACTGCTAGTCCCCAGAATTTCAATTCTGAAGCCACAGGATTATATTTCATTTGTTTCACATACATGTGTAGGACAGGTCTTATACTTTGAGATACAAAACTAATAAGTAAGGGGCCAGATGGTGGCTCAGTGCTAACAGCACACTGCAATCCTGGACCCACATGGGAACGTCCTGGCTCATGTTCCAGGGCATCCCTACGCGCACGTAGTGCACATGCATGCCTGTGATCCACGCTGGCCACGGCTAGGAGTGGACAGCAGTGTGAAGATCCTGTTGGGGGTGCCTGTCTCTCACAGAAGAAATAAAGAAACCCCCCTAATTTTTTTTTTTTAAATTTTGTCAGAGGGCACATGTGCTTGTAGGAGGGGTTGTGGGGAGAGTGAAGGATCCCCTTTTGGGGATGACCATGTCACAATCCCCTCTCCATTTCTCCCTCCTTTCAGGATTTCAGGCATGCATAGTGCCCAGTGTGTTTCTTCAAGCTGCTGATTCCGGACCCCAACTGCATAGTCAACTACATGGGATCCATAGTCCTACACTATGTGAGAAAGAAAGAGGTGGGGGGCAGGACTCTTTTTGTTTCATTAAAATATTTTTTATAATAAGGTACAGTTTCATACTGCTGACCTAGACTCTTTAAATAGGTTACAATGAAAGGAAAACTCTTACGTGACTATATGCTTCAAAGAGAACTGCTGAACTAGCATTTTCAATGATCAGTCTGCAGTACCACATCGAAACTTTCATTTATAGATTTTACCTTACAGCTCCTGAGCCGTTCCATACTGCTGGACATTGTGAACAATATGGCCATTCTTTTGAATCTAACCTATTATCAATAGCATCCTAGGGAAGAAAAAAGTTAACATAATTGGTAAAATGTTGGAAACTCCAGGACTGTTTATTTGTTTTGCATAAAGGACAAAACCTATATTTGGTCGTCAGAAAAGTCATGACACATTTCTGCATAGAAAAACATAAGTAATGCAGGGACCAGCAGTTAGCGTAATGGCTATGTCACTGGATTCCCATGGAGTCAACTGTGGTTCACATCCTGGACCCGGTGGCTTAAAACTCACGCCGGGCGCATGAGCGTGTGTGCCCAAGATCCCGAGGGGAGAATGGAGGAGAAGGGACTGCGGCGTGGCCATCCCCCCCGGGGGGGTGATTTCTCACTTTCTGTCTCTTTGTCTCTGTCTGGCGAGCTCATGTGCCCTACAGCAAAAACCTCTCCAAAAAAAAAAAAAAAGTAATGCAATTATTTACTTAATAAACCAATATCCACTGCATATCTACCATCATTCATTTAGAGGGTTCTCATGTTAGTATGAGCATTCCAGGTGCCTTTTCAGGACCTATAGCTCTAGAGTACCAGAAGTTTCTAAATAGCATCCTAGTTTTGACATACTCTAAGGCTTTGTCCTCCATCGTAGGACTCTAAAACTGCATACCTAGCCTAGTGGTACTCAGGACAATCAAATGGGATTTTATTTTCAAAATATTTTCCTTTTTTCAGTGTTACATTTTATAATACACTTACATGTATGAATATACTGTATAAACATTTTTTATTAATATAAAACACACAATTTGATTAAAAAAAATAGGCACATTTCACATTTTATAATGGTTTGGAATCCAAAAAGTTTGGAGACCACTGTCTTACAGTAAATACAGTAGTACAAACAGCATTCACAAATAGCGCTCACAGTCCTATGCTATGTGAGAAAGAATGAGGTGGGGGACACAAAGAGTAATCACAAAGTCTCAGTAGTCCAGGAATATTTTGGTAAGACTGCAAGAAGGGAAGAAACCAAGTTTCAGAAGAAGTTATAAAGGCCTAAGATTGTCACTAATTCAAATGGGGATTTTATTTTTTTGTTCTTTAAAAAACATCATCAGAAGGCACATGTTTTTGCTGAAGAAAGATACAGAATGAGGGAGAAAGCACCTCCCTGCTGCCCTCAAATATGGCCTGGTCCCTCTACAATCTCTTCTCCATTTCTTACCATTAGTTTCTAATCACTCAGGGAAAGGGGAAAAAAAAACCCCTTATGTTTGGAGAAACAAAGTTTAAAATCTTTACTTTCCATGTGTGGTTAAGCATGTGCAAGTGACATAAAACTACCCAAGCAAAACAGAAAAATCATAGCAATACAATGGACTAAGTTAACTTCCAAAGCAAAGTAAAAGTGAGGGTGTAAGTCAAAGTGAAGACTGGAATAAATGGAACTATATGATCATAATTGAAGAATCAGTGTCAAAATTTTATTGAGTTCATAATAAAATTTTCATAATTAGATAGTTTTATAATGTCCAATAATTGAATATTATTTTCCAAAAGCAAAGAGTAACAATGCTTTTAATACTAATAATATTTTTTGTTGTTTTGGAGGGAGAGAGAAAGTGACAAATTACCCCCAGGGGGATAGCAATCCCCTCTCCTCCATTTTCCTCTCAGGACGATGGGCATGCACGCACAGGTGCACAGCATGATTCTTAAGCAGCCAGATCCAGGAATCAAACCGCACAGTCAGCCATGTGGGATCCAGCTGCCCCAACACATCCATGTCATCTGCTGGCCCCAGTACTAGTAGCATTTTAGGCTTTTAATGTTAATGATAGTGAAGTTTACATTAAAAAAAATTTTTATTGATTAATTTTATTTATTATTGTTATTATTTAATTTGATCAGAGAGAGACAGAGAAAGGGTAAGTGAGAAAACAAGCTGCAAGATCCAGGACTCGAACTGTGGTTAGCCATGTGGGAGTCCAGTGCCTTAACCACCACGCCACCTGCCGACCCCCAGCGAGGTTTGCATTTTCAATCACAAATACATTTCTAAGAATACTGGCATCTAACAATTTTAAATTATGGTACTTATGCAGATGACATTCTGTTAAACTTTCATTCAGATAAATTATTTATACTTACACTACATAGTTAAGACAACAGCACTATTCTCATAAAACATACGTGTGCTTATTTTTATTTACTTATTTATTTAGAAACAGAGTTATTTGTCCAAGATCTTTAAAAAGAATCTGGAATTCCAGAGTTTCCTCTCCTCCCTTGATCCCAGATACAGCTTTCTTTTGTGAATCTTCCAAACACTGCAGAAAATTCCTCCCTAGAAGATATGCCTAGAAGTGACAGGTACACATATGAAGAGTGAAGAATACTCTCTATAGGGCACTCAGGTAGATGTAAAAACAATGATTTTTACCTCCATAATGTCTTTGATAAAAGGTGTCCATCGAGAGAGCTGAAAAGTTTCTTCTGCAGACCGATCCTTTCTTACTGGTTTGCCTTGCTGAGACTAAAGTAATTAGAAGAAAAAAAATAAAAGTCAGTAATTTTTTTTAGTAATATGTTTTCTAGCAAAGATGCTAAATTTACCAGCAAATACTATATTGTATTTGACTTAAAACTAGGAGTAGAAATCCCTCCTTAAGAAATATGAATAGGGGCCAGCGGGGGCCATGGTGGTTAAGGTGAGGGATCCCCACATGGCCAACGTGATTCTACTTCCAGACTGGGTGGCTTGGTTTCTCATTTTCCTTCTCTCTCTGTAGCTCTTTGGTCAAATTAAATAATAATAATAATAAGTGAAATTAATATTTAAAATATTTTTTAAAAATCTAAATGGGATGAGGTCAGCAGGTGGTGTGGTTAAGAGCGCTGGACTCCCACATGACCCAATGCAGTTTGTTTGAGTCGCAGACCTGGTGGCTTGCTTTCTCATTTTCCTTCTCTTCCTCCCTCTCTCGCTCTGTCCCTCTCTGGTCAAATTAAAATAAATAATAAAAAATTTAAAATAAAATAATTATTTTAAAAATCTAAGTAGGATAATACCTAAATAATGTTTTATGCTTTAATGCTGAAATTTAAAATAGCAGCAAGAAATGTGGTTGTTCAAACAAAAGCATCATAAAAATTATGGGAAAGTGTATTCATATCTTTAAAGAATTATTTTTACTTAACTTTATTTATTATTATTATTTTCCAGTTTGATCAGAGAGAGAGGGAAAATAAGAAAGCAAGCCACCAGGTCTGGGACTTGAACCGTGGTTGGCTCTGTGGGAGTCCAGTGCCTCCAACCACCATGCCACCTGCCGGCCCCAGGAAAGTGTATTTAAAAGACTATTTCTTTTCTTCATGAGAGAGGTGAGAGGGACAAGCTCCACTGACAGGGTCTCGTACTGCTACAGTCCTCTCCCAGCCTTCCAGGCAACCAGGATTACAGGCATGCCCAATGTGCACGGCCATGTGCATACCCAGCATGTTCAGGTCAACCCAGCATTCAAACGGTGTGTCTTTCTATATGGCTCCAGTACTGTGCAGTGGTATCCTATTGAATGTGCTATCACAGCTGGGGCAAGGCTAAATTTTTTTAAGCAGGGGAATATAATACTGTTTTCTGTTTCATATTATAATTAAAGAATAAATATATAACTATGACAGTTGCTATAAATGAATCACAAAGCAAAAAGCCTAAGTAACAAATTATGACAGAAATCATAAAACACAAATTCATTTTGAATTATTAGCAGAGTGTATTTGCACAAATTACCTACATATGGAAACCTAAGAAAAAATTATATATATATTTTTTACCAAAGTGTGTATGTGAGAGGAAGATGGAGGGAAGAGGAAGAAAGGGAGAGAGAGAGAGGGAGAGGGCAAAAGAGAGAGGAGGGGGAGAAAAATGAGGGGGAATCAAGAGAAGGAGAGGGGGAGTGAGAGAGAAAGCACCCCTCAGTGGGGCATGGTCACACAACAATCCTTTTTCTTCCATTTCTCCTACCTGTCAGGATTTTGGGTATGTACATAGTACCCCGCCTGTTTTTCAAAACACTAGGGCCTGTATGCAAACTGTGGTTGGCCATGCAGGATCTAGCTCCTTTAAATACTGAGCTATGGGGCCAGCCACAAGGAAATAAAATTTTAAATTATTCAATGACAATCAAAATCTACATAGTAAAGTTAAAAAGACTGTCCACATGGATTCCCACATTAAAAAAACAAAGCTAATGTAAACAATCACACATATACATTTGCTCTTAGTCAAAAGGCGAAGGAGTGATAATTACACAACTGTATATGTAAGTACATCCATAATTTAAAATTTCTTACTTGGGGAACAATGGGAACACCAAGGTAACTCCAGTTACGAATCATGTCACTTTCATTTTCTATCTTTACATTCTGGATCAACCTGTCCAGATTTTCTTCCGTAGTGCCTTAGAATAAATAAAAACACAGGTGCACAATTACTTCATTGCTACTGCAACCATTTCTAGATTTAGATAGTACTTACTCATGAATAAAGCTTTTATTTATTTATTTCTTTAGAGAGATATTTGCTATAGGGCGCATGCACTTGCTGGAGAGACAGAGAGACAGAAATGAGAAATCACCTCCCAGGGGGATGGCCACACCACAATCCCTTCCCTATTCTAGTCTCGGGATCTTGGGCATGCATACACACACGCCTGGCATGAGTTTTAAACTGTTGAATCTGGGACTTGAACTGTGGTCATTCTACTATGTGGCAGTCCAACAATGTAACCACTACATCATCTGCTGGTCCTGAATGAACTTTATTTAAGAAAATTAATTAATCAATTAACTTATCTATTTATTTATCAATGAATTGATCTATTTATTTATTTATTTATTTATTTATTTGACTATAGAGGGACAGAGAGAGAGAGACAGAGAGAGAGAGAGAGAGAGAGAAAGTAAGCTGCCAGATCTGGGACTCGAACCAGTCAGCCATGTGGGAGTCCAGTGCCCTAAACCACCACACTACCTGCCGGCCCCCTGAATAAAACTTTTCAAGTAAAAAGCAAACAAATGATTGGGTTGTCAGGAAAGTCATGATGCATATTTGAAGAGAAAAGCAAAAAAAAAATCATGATTTTCCCAACAACCTGATACATTCTCTTCATTCAATTTTGTATATTTCTTTTAGTTATCTTGACCATCTTTGGCTCTTACTTTTGAGTTTTTTTTTTTTTTTGGAGAGGTTTTCGCTATAGGGCGCGTGCGCTCGCCAGACAGAGAGAGACATAGAGACAGAAAGCGAGAAATCACCCCCCAGGGGGGATGGCCACGCTACAGTCCCTTCTCCCCTATTCTCTTCTTGGGATCTTGGTCACGCATGCACAAGTGCCCAGTGTGAGTTTTAAGCCACTGGGTCCGGGACACGAACCGCGGTCGACTATGTGGGAGTCCAGCAACATAGCCATTACGCTAATTGCTGGTTCCCTTACTTTTGAGTTTTCAAAGATACTGTAATGACCAATAATTAAACCATTTATAAAAAGTGATTTTAGAGCTGAGTATTTTAATGCATTCATAAAAAGACACGAAATTCTTATTACCATTAATACTGAAGATATAAAGTAGAATTGCTCTTATTTTATCACAGTTATCGTGATTTTTGCCAAGTAGTACTGGAAGGAGTACTCGCATAGAGTCTTTCACCTTCTGTCCTTCTGCGTCAGTTCCAAGTGCCAGGTCCTTAATGAAAACAATATATAGTCAGTTTATAATTCAGAAGTTTTTAGTAAAAACTATCTGTAATTAAACTTTGTCAAATTTTAATGGAACACTGATAACATTTTACAAGAAAATGTAGACATTACTTGTAAACTGGTTGTATAAAAAATAAATGGACAAAAAAGAAATCAGAGAAAAAAAATCATTCACCTAAATCATAGCCACTAGTCATGTGTGTCCAATGACCATTTGAAATGTGGTTAATTGGAATTAAGATGTATTCTAGGGGCAAAACACCAGATTTTCATGACTTGATGTGAAAAAAAGGATATACCATATGTCACTGATCTTTTTTTTTTTAAATAGAGGTTTTTGCCTTAGGGCGTGCATGCTGGCTAGAGACAGAGACAAGGGAGAACCTGAGGAATCACCCCCCAACACACACACACACACCAGGGGGGATGGCCACACCACAATCCCTTCTCCTCCATTCTCTTTTTGGGACCTTGGACACGCATGCACATGTACCTGGCCTGAGTTTCAAGCCAATGGGTCCAGAAGTCGAACTGTGGTTGGCCACATGGGAGTCCAGCAACCTAACTGCTATACCATCTGCTGGCTCCCAATTTTTTATATTGATTACATATTGAAATAATATTTTGGATATATCAAGTCAAGTCAAATGTATTACTAAAACTAACAACTTTTTTTTTACATTTATAATATGGCTATTAGAATATTTAAAATTACTTTCAGCTTGCATTCTATTTCTAGTAGGCAGCAATGATCTAACCAGGGGTGGCATTACACAAAAAGCCTTTCAAAATGAACATGCCTATGCAGTGCTCAGCAGACTGCTACATTACCTGCTGTTCCTACTGAGAAAGCCCTCCCAACAGTACTGCCCCGAGAAAGGTAAACTTAAATCATCCCTTACAACCTAAAATGCAGTCACAGGTTAGGAACTCTTACTAAGATACTGTTAATTTTGGTGGGGGAATGATGTATTAAACACTGCCTAGGTGGGTCTCCTTGGTAAGACAAGGTCTGATTCTGAGAAAATCAACCATTATACTGAGCAAAAGTTAGCTTTTAACTTACAGTTTGTTCCGGAAATCTAATGTAAATTTAGACACTTCTAGAAGACTCTACACATACCTGTTCAGTTTTGCAGAGCTTTTCTATATTAAGCTTGAATTTACTCATACAATCTTCTGCTAAATTAAGATGAACAACTTGCTGGAAAACAGAAGCAATCTATCATTAAAAGCATTTTAATTACGTTTTGTACAACTGGTAATATCAGACTTTTGAGATAGGCCTAAAGGAAAGTATGAGCTTAGGTGAAAGATGGTAACATGGAAACAAGGGAGATAGCTCTAGAAAGGAAATGAGAATTAATGTGACTTGCAAAGGGCAAACAACAGACAGCAGAAACAGAAAGGGGGCATTAAACTTGTGCTGAGTTTGAGACTAATGACAAATAAGATGAGAAAAAGAAACAGTGCAGCCCTTGCAGTCTAACAAAAAAAAATTTCAATTTATGTTCCTGGTTTATGAGAATAATTGGTAAAGATTATTCTGATAGTGACATGTAAGAAGGCCTGGTAAAGCAAAAGAATAGTTCCACTGATCACAAAGCTTAAATGCTCCTATATCTACTAATACATAACTATTAATTCAAATAAACTTGTACAGTAATAACCACTGGACAATGTAGAGTTAAATGTTCCTTTGCAGGTGATAAATACTAAAGATTTTCAGCTTGGTTATGTAAGACAAAGATATAAAAAAGTTTACACATATAAATCTATATGATATATGCAGATAAGAAATATATAATATGCACATATTAGAAAATTTAGATATTTGGGATACTTCTCAGACCTACGGTAAAGTTTTAGAAACAACTATCATGAAGTATTCCATTAAACTCACTGCGGAGCTTTACTAAGGGACTAGACAGAGAGGGAAACTAAAAATAACAAGCCATCTCATGTACAACACTGCTTACCTTAGTAATCTGTTTTCGGAGATGTGGCATTTTTTTCATCAGCTGGGTGAGAGCACTAAGTGATGTCTAGGAAAAATTGTACATTTTTTAGGTAAACCAGTATGATTCAGTTATTCTATATTACAATTTTTAAATCTTGGAGTTTTTTTTTTTGAGAGGCTTTTGCTATAGGGCTCATGTGCTCGCCAGAGAGAGAGAGAGAGACAGAGAGACAGAAAGCAAGAGTTCTGGATCACATCACAGTGATCCTAGGTGATGTTCTGTCTACACAAACTGTTGAGTTTTCTTGTGACAGGTAGTTCAACTGTTGAGGAATAATCTTTATTCTCCTGAGACTTCATGTTAGGCAATGTTATGGTGAATGCCCTTCACATTTGCACTAATTTAAGACATTTAATAGTAAGGTTAAATGTCTAAGGCATTCACTTAGGTCTCTTTGTCTTAATCAGAGAATGTTAGCATTTTCCTAGCATTGGGCCCCCTCTGAGATCTCTTTTTAACATGTAGACACCCAGTTGTTCTCTAGTAGGCCTTTGTGAGTTATGTTCTGTACAAGTGCAGCCTAGGAGTCCAAGGTCAACCCCTCTATACATTTTCAGATCAAGTTCTGGATGGCTCCTTCTCAAACCCTACCTCACTGTGCTAACTTCCAGTGTGGTTTAGAAAACATCCGCAGACAGGGACCAGCAGATGGTACAATGGCTACATCGGGGGTCTCCCATGTGGTCGACTGCGGTTCGAGTCCCAGACCTCGGGGCTTAAACTCATTCTGGGTGCGTGTTCATGCATGCCCAAGATCCCAGGAGGAGAAGGGATTGTGGCATGGCCATTTCCCCTGGGGGGTGATTTCTCACTTTCTGTCTGTCTTTTTTTGGCGAGTGCACGCACCCTATAGCAAAAACCTCTCCAAAAAAGAAAGAAAGAAAAAAAATACCCCAGAGAAAAGGGCTCAGACAGGGATTATGACCTTCTGTGTTCTCCAGAACTTGAACTACGCAATTAGCCATATGGGACCCAGGCCACCTGCTGGCCCAACTAAACAGACTTTTAAAAATAAACTTTTGGGGAGCCAGCAGGTGGTGTAGTGATTAAGGTGCTAGATGCCCACATGGCTGACTATGGTTCAAGACCTGGATCCAATGGCTTGAAAATCACATTGGGCATGTGTGCATGTGTACATGCCCAAAATCCTAGGAGGAAAATGGAGAAGGAATTGCAGCAGGGCCCTCCCCTCTCAATGCCTCTCTCCATTTCTGTCTGGTGAGGGCACATGCAAAAACAAAAGAGTTTGGGAGCTGGCTCTGTGGTGCAGTGGTAATATACCACTCAGGAGAAGCCAGATCCTACATCGCAGCCATGGTTTGAATCCACAAGCGGGACCAGCAGGTGGCATGGTAGTTAAGGCGCTGGACACTCCTACATAGCTGACCACGGTTTGATACCCAGATCTGGTTGCTTGCTTTCTCACTTGCTCTCTCTCTGGTCAAATTAAAAATAAATGGATGAATAAATAAAATTTAATAATTAAATTAAAAATATCCCCAGGCAAGACAGCATGAAGCATGCCAGGCACAGGCAAGTAGCCGAGATCTAATAGGCCAGAGGACTGGAGGAAGGGATGGTAGTATGGGCGGACACTGTGGAGGGTACTCATCTTTTTCTCTTCCTCTTTCTCTCATGTGCATTACTTTATCATGAATAATATATAAAAAAGAAAAAAGTAAACTTTAATGAAAGCAAGACAGACAAAATATTGCTAACTATTGAAACTAGGTAATAACTATACATGGGAGTTCATTTTCTCTACTTCTGAATGTTAAAACTTTCTCAAAATGGGAAGTTAAATACGTAAAATAAAGATTTTAAATAAACTTTAAAGCTCACCCTGAGCACTATTCTGATAGGTGAGTAAGACTCTTACCTTTCCTTCTGTTGCTTTCTTTGTTGATGAAATTTCCTTCATAAGCTTCGGAATTTCCCTGTCAAATTTAAAAAACTGAATTGGATTCTTTAAATTGCTAAGGTGAGTTCTTTATAAAACTGTTTAAAGTTGGAACATCTATCTTGTATTTAGTATCTAAAAATATGGGATAAAAATTAAAATGAGTTTACGTACTCTAATACAACTGCAATATGCCGATGTCGAATTCTGACCCAGAGGTCATCTTCTTCTTCAAGGATTGCCTCCTTTTCTTTCCCATCTGTTTTATATCTACAAGTAGAGAGAAGTATAAAACTTTTAAATGTTTTCTCCCAAAAGTAGAATAAATATTTTTACAAATAATAACTTTTCAGGAAACTGAAAAGTATACACATTCACTTCACTATTTTATCACCTTAAAATAGCGGATTATTCAGAACTAAAGCATTTCTATTTTCACATTAAAAATCAAAGTGTTATGCCTACCAAAACATTTTTACTTTCAAATGTGAGATTTAGCTGTTATTATTATAGAGTTTCAACAAAATGATACCTTATGAAGCAAAAATTCAATGTCATGATTGACTTTAGAACACAATTAAATATACAAATAATGTATGTTCTAATTGCTTAGAACGTGAATTTAATGTACTAATTACCCATAGCACAACTATGAAACATCCATTAAGAACAGAACTATCACCCTTAATGTAACCTGTAAGCTATCAAATATGAAGATAGGATTAGTCCCATTGTCTAGTGGTTAAGGGAGCCAGATCCCTGGGAGTCTAAATTGTGGCCTTGGCAGTTGGAGGAACACATTAGGCACATGCGTGTGCATGCTCAAAATCCTGACAGGGTGGAAAAATGGTGGAGAAAGGATTGCAACGTGACCATGCCCACACTGAGAGATGCTTCCTCCGTCTTCCTCTCTCTCTCTGGCAAGTGCACACATCTGCTGGCAAACTAAAAAAAAGTATTTGAAGGTGTTTTAGATTTGGTATATAATTCACAATCACAAACAACATACATTATCTGGTTCTTTATTCTTCTCCAACCCTATAACTACATCTCCTATAAAAATTGGGGAAGAATGAAAGAAAACTAATGTAGCTCTAAAAAATTGTGATAGCACTGCTTCTTGGCCTTTCAGCCAAGATAAAGTGTGAAAAATTATGATAGTTTTAATGAGTTCTATAGAAGTGAGCAGTAATTCAAGGGGTTCATGAAACTACTCAAACTGGGCTTCAATTTCTTCCAAATAACTTCTTTCTCTTTCTATACAGATAGCCTTCTTCCATTTGTGGAGCTAGGGAAATCGATTATCCTTAAATGTGTCAATTTCTTGAGCCAAGATGAGAAAGGACTGCACTGAGCATTCCTAGCTTGAACTACAGATAACATATGTAGATTTCTACTATATGAATACAATCATTTCTATAACTCAGAAAATTATAGGTCCCACCTATAAAAACATGCTCCTGTGTGGTCTTAATTCCAGCTGTCCAAAGACAAAACAGCTGTGCTTAATTAGAAGGCTACATTAAGGAAGCCCTTTGTCATGTAAAATGCCATTCTGTATAGAAACAATACCTTTTTTTTTTTTTGGTAAGAGATTTTTGCTATAGGGCACATGTAATTGTAGGAGAGAAAAAGAGAAAGCAAGAAATCAATCGCCCCAGAGGGGATGGCCATACCACAATCCCTTCTCCTCTATCCTCCTATTAGAATTTTGGGCATGCATGCACATGTACCTGGTGCGATTGCCAAGCCACCAGGTCCAGGACTCAAACCACAGACGGCCATGTGGGAATCCAGTACCTTAACCACCACACCACTTGCTGGTCCCAATACCTTTAATTTTTAAGTGGTTTATAAACAAAGATTATAGCAGCATGCCTAACAATACTCAAAGGATGATGACAATCTTTTTTAAGGTAAATGTAAAGGACCGTAGTACAACAGTTAAGTGCAGTGAATAAGAAACCAAAGCCCACATGGCTGACCGCAGTACAAATCCTGCCCTGGCAGCTTGAAAAACATGCCAGGCATGCTGAAATCCTGACAAGAAGGAGGAATGGAGGAAAATGGACTGTGATGTGACCATACCCCACTTTGGGATGCTTTCTCTCTTTCTCTCTCTCTGGCAAATGTGTATGTACTTTGGCCATTGTGGGGGGAAAGATAAAGAGTAAATTTAAAGAGGTCATGAACATAAAAAACAGAATCTAGGCACTTAAAATTTCCTGCTTTGCATTATGTTTCAATAAAAAATTTGGGATAGAACATACAACATAGGGAGCTGTGCTCCCATCTAAATGTAACCATTTGGGGTTTTTTGACTTATTGAGTCATTGGAAAAGTTATGAATTATTTTTTCTATGCAAGAATGTGTCGTGACTTTTCTGACAACACAATAAAAAGTGAGTTAAACCTATATAGTTTATATACCTTAAAGAAGTAAACATTTTCTTTACTCTTAAAAAAAAAAAAAGTAAATCTTGCTTTACTTGCCAGCAAATCTAGGGAAATACTTATTTCAAAAAATAGAATAAAAATGTCTAAAATTGGGCCAGCCAGTGGCATGGTGGTTAAGGAGGCTGGATCCCACATGGCTGACTGTGTGGTTCAAATCCCAAACCTGGTGGCTTGAAAAACATGCTGGGCAAGTGTGCATGTGTGCCCAAAATTCCCAAGAAGGGAACAGAGGAGAAACTGCAGCATGGTCACCCTCACTAGAAAGAGCTTTCTCTCTGTCTCTCTCTGGCAAGTGCACACACTCTATGGCAAAACTTTGAAGGGAAAAAAAGTCTATAATATGTGTCTAATCTGGAACCAAATCTTTTACTGCACATGAGTTTGTTAATTCTTTTCTAAATCTTAGGAACAATGCAGGTTCCTAAAAGATAACAGAGATAAATAAATAATATCCCTTCTGAAAATTTTAAATAAATTACTTTAAAACAACTTTTACATGAGAAAACAGTTGTTGATTTGTCTAACATTAACACAAATAACACAGAGAAAAACTTACAAATCAGGATTTGACCAGAATGCAAACAAAAATACAGTAGAAAATACAAAATTACTTTAAAAATATTAACTACAGTAATTATCACAAGTAATTGCATCTTTTAATCTAATACAATTACTAAATTAAAGTTAAAATTTCAGAAAACCAATTTTCATTCTCACTATTGCGCTTATGCAGTAAATATTAGCTAAAAAATGCCAATTTGGATTTAGAGATCATGCTATCAAATAAGTTATGTAATATAAGTGTACATATGCATACCATATACATAAATACAAAAAATATGGTTCCTTGATGGAAAAGCTATTTGACTTTTCATTTACATTTTTATCTTTCATTACTTTTAAAGTAAATATGCTTATACCAAGGATAAGTCAGCAATTAAGTACCAAACCAGTAAAACTGTGCCTATTCTCAGTACCCATCCTACTTACTTTTCTAGGATTCTAATATTTTTTAAAGAATTATTTATTTAATTTTATTTATTATTATTATTATTCAATTTGATGAGAAAGGAGAGGGAGAAAGGAAGCTGCTAAATCCAGGACTCAAACTGTGGCCAGCCATTTGGGAGTCCAGTGCCTTAACCAGCATACTACCTGCTGGCCCTGAGTTCTAGTATTTTAAAATACATTACATTGCCAGGACATATACCCTTAGGGTGGATGAATCAGAATAATTACAGCCTGATCATTTGAATATGGTTTCCACTTCAACGAGTACAACAGTGGGCCTGGCATTTACCCCTGACACAAGTGGGAAGCGCAAATTCCACCTGTTTAAAATCAGGTCTGTTGTGGACCTGATTAAGAAGCAAGGGTATCAAAAAAGCTCCAAAGCGGTCAAATTACCCATTAACTTAAAAGGTCAACATCTAAAAGATTATTATTACAGGAGTAAGAGGATAAAGTGTTTGCATAAAAAAAAAGAGTTTCAGGGCTTTGAGATTTCTGGTACCTATATAAGTTGCTAATGCTCATATTTTACCCTATCTGTATGTGCCCTTTACATGCCCATCAGGTTATACTTGCTTGTATGTGTCATTTTCAATTGGTAGTAGATCATATGCCATTGCCTGAAAGGTCAGTTCATGTAGGACAGTGGACACAGGATCAAAGCCACGATCAATTATTAAGAGCTGAGAATGCGTTTTACCCTAGAAAGATAAAATAAAATTTTCTTCAGAAACTTTAATTTCTTTGTGTGAACATATTTTTACTGTCTTGGAAAACACAAGCTTTTCCTAATGTTCTGTCCCTTCTCACCACCAAAACCGTATAACAGAACAAAACAAAGCAAATGGGTACTTGCCTCAGAATGTGAAGTTATACTGAAACAAACAAAAATCTGAGTGGTGCAGTAGGGAGAAACACCAATACTACACAATTAAAATCCTTCATAATAAGATTAAGAGGTCAATATATTAATATTTAATAATATAATATTCTGAAATTTTCTTTTAAATAAGATTTGGTGTGCAATGAATCTATTTTCTTATGAATTCAGATCCATAAACACCAAAACGGATATAAACTAGGGAATAGTAATTACTTCTTCACTCTTTGTATTACATATTTTGCTAAGGAATAAATGTTATGTATTATTTCATTTACTTCTTAGAGTAACCTTATGATAATCCAATATTAATACAACCAGAATAATAGCATTTACTAAACAAGAATAACACCACTTACTAATCCTCCTAACAGAAAAACAACTAACTTCTTTTCTAAGAATTATTTTACTGGGACCAACAGATGGTGTAATGGCTACATTGCTGGACTCCCACAAGTTGACTGCAGTTCAAGTCCCGAATCCAGCAGTTTAAAACACCAGAAACATGTGCACACATGCCCAAAATCCTAAGAGGAGAACGGAGGAGAAAGGATTGCATCATGGCCATTCCCCCAGAGGATGATTTCTTGATTTCTGTCTCTCTGCCTTTGTCTGTTTCTCTGGTGAGTGCATGCACCCTATAGCAAAAGTCTCCCTCTTTGAAAAAAAAAAAGTCATTTAATTTTATTTTATATTTTTAAATTAGATCAGAGACAGACAGAGAGGAGGAAAGTGAGAATGCAAACTGACAGGTCTGGGACTCAAACTATGGTCAGCTATGTAGGTGTCCAGTGCCTTAACCACCACACCACCTGTGGGCCTCAGTAACTTTATTTTTTTAAGTTTATTTCTTCCATGAAAGAGACAATGAGACTGGCATCCTCAGTAGGGTCTCCATTCTGTGGATCCACCTGCAGCCTCAACCAGCCCAGATCACAGCAATGTGAACATGCACCTGCTGTGTGTATAGGAAGGCTCCAGGACACAAACACAGGACCTGTCCATGTGGGTTGTACCACTACTGTGCCACCATCTGACTCCCCCAATTGATAAGTCACATATTCTATTTCGACAAAGTTGTGAACAGTGAATTCTACTTTTTTTTCTTGAGAGATTTTTGTTATAGGGCTCATGTGCTCACCAGAGAAAGTGAGAAATCACTCCAGAGGGGAGATGGCCACGTCACAATCCCTTCTCCTCCAATCTCCTTTCAGGATTTTGGGCATCCACACACATGTGCCCAGCATGAGTTTTAAACTGCCGGGTCTGGGACTTGAATTGCTGTGGACTACGTGGAAGTCCAACAACAAAACTAGTACGCCATCTGCTGGTCCCGAATTCTGCTTTTCTATGGGTCTCTCCAAGAACTCTACAACAAACTCCCTCTTCATTCACATTGCACTCATTCTTCAAGTTCAAGGGTCTCTACCTCTAGGATGTCTTCCAAAACTCCAGTTTAGAATAAGATAAACTCCAGTCCATGTTCCTATTATACTCTATGTATTCTTCTCTGATCTAGCTTATTATGTAACATTATAACTGGTGGTCTCCTGGATCATCTCTTCTAAACTGTCAATGGCTCCTTCCTTTAATACTCTGGCTACTGTATGATGGCTTCCTAGGCCTCTGACGCCTTTATCAGTCTCCTCAAATTCTTCGTTCTCTCTCTCCCTCTTAAAGTTAATCCATCTTTTCTTCCATAAATGAGAGACACAGCAAGATAGAGACAGAAATAGCACCCCTAACAGAGACCTGATGGCTGCCAGGTCCACCCACAGCTTTAGCCAATCCTGGATCAAGACATGTACATTCTGAGTATAACCAGGGAGGTCGCAAGCCAGAATCTTTTCATGTGAGTCAGCCTGAGAGGGCATCATGTTCTACCACTGTGCCACCGCCCAGCCCCTAAACTCTTCATTCTATAACCCACGCCTAAATGCTGGTAAATACTAGGCTCCAACCTTAATCTTTCATTACTTTATAATATCTTCATAAGATAGTAACAGCTGTCATTTCCTGAACTCCTAAATGTTAACACATGTTAATTCAATGTTGGTACCAGTCAAGTAATATACAAAAACAGGATTTTCCAAAGTTTGTGTAAAAATGTAATTAAAGTGCAAGTTTGGGCTAACCCATGGCCTGGATCCCATATGGCCAACCACATGGTTCAAATCCTGGACCCGGGGACCAGCAGTTGGTGTAATGGCTATGTCGCTGGACTCCCACGTAGTCGACCATGGTTCAAGTCCCGGACCTGGTGGCTTAAACTCACGCCAGGCGCATGTGCGTGCGTTCCCAAGATCCTGAGAGGAGAATGGAGGAGAAGGGATTGCGGTGTGGCCATCCCCCCTGGGGGGCGATTTCTCGCTTTCCGTCTCTCTGTCTCTCTCTGTCTGTCTGGCGAGTGCCTGCACCCTATCGCAAAAACCTCTCTGAAAAAAGAAAAAAAAAGAAAAAAAAATCCTGGACCCAAAAGCTTATGAAATACGCCAGGTGTATGTGTGTATGCATGCCCTAAATTCTTAAAAGAATGGAGAAATAGAGAAGGGATTGCAGTGTGACCATGGCTGAAGGGGGAGAGGGGTGTGCTTGCTTTCTCACTTCCCTTCTCTCTCTCTCTCTCTCTTTCTCATTCACTGGCAAGTGTATGGGCCCTCCGGCAGATTAAAAAAAAAAAAGACAAATTTATTTTGCTGCAAAAAAATTCTGAAATCCACATATGATTTTTTCATAATATGCATTCCTATGAACTATTTGAAGACTCCTTGTATTAGCTCATCTTTTTTACAGATGAATAAATAAACTCAAGGTCACAGGGTAACAATAGGAATTCCTACATTTAGTAAATGTCTGTTTAGTGGCAAAGATTATTCTAAGGACTTTATAAGTATTAACTCATTTAATTTTCTCACTAGTTTATAAAACAGGTATCCTCTTATTATCCTCCTTCTATAGAAAAGAAAACCTAGGTACAAAGAAATTATATAACTTGTCTAAAAGAAAAGAAAACCTAGGTACAAAGAAATTATAACTTGTCTAGTCTGTTAACCAATTCAATAGAAAAACCAGGATTTGGTCACAGAGGTAACTTCAAAATCTGTATCTTCCCTGTAGACTACACTGTCTAGTAAGGTTTCCACTACTACTTTTGTTAACAACTCTCGAATCAGTTTGGGAGATCTATTTCAATGATTTCCAAGTCAATACTGGAAAATGAATGCACAAGTTTCTTTAGCTTATAAAGAAATAATACAGACTATTATTTTTCATACATTACCTTTATTAGGCTCTTTTCATCAATTTTGTAGTAGTCTTCCAGCTTCTTTTCAACAAGCTGTGCAAGTTTACTGGCATTATCTAGAGGTTTACTAGAAATGGAAAAAAAAAGTTTAAACACTTATCTTTCTTCCAGGACACATTCTATAATATCATAAAGTTGAATTCCAAAATTAAAACATGCAATGTATTTATTAGTTATTTATAAAACAAGGCAAGATGCAGTGGGGCAGCAATAGTGCACCACTGCACGACATTGGAGCCTTATGGAAGATCAGGGTTTGGTCCCAGGGTTGACCTAAAACACGTGAACTGTGTGTTTGTCATGTTTGTGTGGCCCTGATCTTGGTGGACTGGAAAGGCTGGGGGGATGAATGCAGAGGAGACTGTTGCTGGTGCCTATCTTTCTCTCTCTCCATGAAATAAACTTTTTAAAAAAGTTTATAAAATAAAGTATTTTATAAACACAAAAAAGCTCAGATAGTAGCATACCAAATATATCAATATATCTGGAATTAATAAATGTAAACCTTATCAAATGTGTTTCAGGTTTTTTAAATATAAATATATATTAAATAATATATTAAATATAAATATATATATATATATAAAATATTACATTGATAGCTGTGGTTCCCTTTATTCCCCTCCCAAGTCCTGTTCCACTCTTTTAACCCTACTTTCCAACCCAAGGCAACCACTTTCATGAATTTCCTGTGTATTTCTTCAGTCACTGCTGCTATTTATATATGTTTGTGTGCAGGTTGAGAGCTATCTGTATTGATACATATATCGGACTTATTCATGTGATCGCCTATACAGTACTCCATCATGATTTTACTGGATTCTATGTTTTTGTTTCCTTAAAGACAGACATTTAGGTCAGTCTGAATTTTATACTATTGTAAACACTGAAGCAAATGTGTTTATACATATATCTTCATGTTCATGTTTCTCTAGGTATATTACATGTAAAAGTATAGTTGCTGGGTCATAGGGCATGTACATCTTCAATTTTTCTAGATATTCCCAACTGTTCTTCACATTAGCTGACCAATTACCTCTGCCACCAGCAGTGTGAGACTTCCCCACATGCTCTCTAATATTCAGTCAATTTTCCAACTTGGTCTTTGGCATAAAGTCTTGTATATCACACTCCTAGAACACATTAGATTCTAAACTGCAACTTCTTGACCAGTGGCACTAGTGAAACTTCTCAATCTAAAGAAAAATGTTCTTCAACTAGCACACCAACCTCAGAAATGGGTGTTCTCACTGTGAGGGCTTCGAAGGGTTAAACAATCTTCAGGTTTTCTACCTTAAAAATAAATAAAGCAGCACCTATAAAGAGTAATTTATGGGGGACCAGCAGTTAGCGTAATGGCTATGTCGCTGGACTCCCACGTAGTGGATTACAATCTGAGTCCCGGACCTGGAGGCTTAAAAACTCACATTAAGCCATCTGCTAGTCCCCAGAAAGAATTTTTTTAAAAGAATTATTTATTTATTTAATTGCATTTGTAAATGTTATTTTTCAATTTG